ACTCAAACATGGCTGCTCTAAGTTTGAGTGTTGCTATTCCTTACGAGCACTTTATTTTATGTACCCTCAGATGCTCTTTACAAACCTCTATTGACTCGACTGTAAATTCTTTGGCTTAGAAGTACCGTAAGAAATGACTACACACACACAACTCGAAGCACGCGGAGTACTTGCAGCATATTACTTGCAGCAATCAGGTAATAAAACAACAATCGAAGTAGCTTGTTTCTTCGAGTTCATCCAATTGGTTATAAAAGTAAACATGCGACTTAATACGCCCAACTCAAAGAATGAGATGGGACTAAGATCCATGAATTTCGTTGTCAGTGACAGAAATAATAGCGTTTTATAATATTCGTACTTGCGTATATCCACTGGCAAATACGCACATTTAGATAAATAGATAGAAATATAGATACATAAAAGTCCCTTATATATGAGCAAATATAATTGATTATTGAGACCCGTGTGTATTATACGTATATATACAATCTATCTGCCTACGGTTTGCATATAGCGGCGTGTGTTTTCACCTATGATATTATCACACTCTTTGTTTTGATTTTTCTTGTCATGATACATGCCGGATTTCCTTTAGAATATGTAAAAAGTCGTTGACTGCGCAGTCTTATATTATGTTATATAATGTTCTATTTTAGTTTTTAAACATCGATCTATCTTTGCTAAGTCAGAATATGAAGAACGGAAGGAACCGACGTAATATCCTTGGTAGACGACCGATTAATTTTCGAAACTTTCTTCTCTCTTTTTTCTCTCTTTCTCTTTCTTTTTAAACCCTTCCCTTTGCGTCTGACTCCAAACAGGTCAATCCCATCAACGCAATCTCGCAGCCGATAATATTTCAAAAGCAATATACCGGCAACATATATTATGAGCAATATTTCCTTCCCTCGGCCTCCTCCTCCGCCGCCGCCCTCACCCTCTCAGCAGATTAATGGCGTCTTTCAGGGTCGGAGGAATGTCTAAGAGATGGACGGCGTGAGGAAGGAGGTCACGTGATCTCAGGTCTCTCCTGCAGGCGACGCGGGCGAGGTGGGCGAGGGTGGGCGGGTCTAAGCAGCAGGAGCGGGGAAGCAGAGAGGGGGCGTCGCAGGGGCACCCGCTGACGTGGTCGCGAAGGAACTTGGGCGGGACTTGAGGGACGGCTCGGAGGAGGTACCTGCAGGGAAAGGGAATCCATCGTCGTTAATGATTGAGAGCTGGAACGATTATGAATTATAATCAGGACAATACATTAATCAATTTTTATTCTCTATCTATCTACATCTCTCTCTCTCTCTCTCTCTCTCTCTCTCTCTCTCTCTCTCTCTCTCTCTCTCTCTCTCTCTCTCTCCTCTCTCTCTCTCTCTCTCTCTCTCTCTCTCTCTCTACACATGGAAGAATCCAGGATTAATCCTGAATGAATCAAGGTTTGGGAAGTCAAGATAAGACACACTGATCAGATTACGTATGATAACAAGATTTAAATCGCCGAGATATTAGACTGATCACTCCGTTAAATCGGCTGGAACAACTCCAGTCACGATGCGTTCTTTGGGGGCCATATGAGCAAGGATGCCGACTCACTTTATCTAAATCGGATCAGGCTTATAATCTGTCATAAGTCTGCTATCTCTCTGTCTTTTATTTGCATTCTATTTTAGGATTTTAGTTTTTTTTTCATAGTCATTGAGTAATGGATCTTTGCTTGTTTGGGTTCTCTCTAATGTCTGAAGAAAAATTACGTTTTTTTTTTTTTTTTTTTTTTGTCTTGCTACATGTGACCTCATTGACTTTCTTCGTGGACTGTTTTCAAAGGAGACAGCACTTGTTTTTATTTTATATTTATTGTATAGCTGTGATTAACTTAAAGTAGCATGGTCAGACAATAGATATATGCAAATTAAATTAACCATCCTAGGCTAAGCAGTCCTACCTTAGGCAAGTTGCAGTTGGAGAGTTCCCAGCAAGGACCAGCAGGTCGTCCTTTGGCATACAGCTGCTCTCGGACGCTTCTTGATGCTGATCCTCAAAGTCCTCCTCGGCAGCAGGTTGGAGTTGCTCAGGCGCTGCATAAATTTCCCTGAACTGGCCCTCTAGCTTCCGGACTAGATAAGCTATGGAGAGGTATACTCCGTCTCTACGGGTGAATAGGGGTTTAAATTGGTTTAGCAATGTAATGGTAACTATCAAATAGAGATTATCAGGAGTAACAGAGATGCCTTTCCCACTTCAGTATATTCAATCCACAGAGGATTTGAAGAAATATTATACTTCATACGATCACTCACGTGTAGCACTTAGAATAGAGGTAGTAGTTGAGCGTGCTTCCCCCTGCCCCATACTGCAGCAGCGTCAGCACCAGCCTGGGACTCTCAGCCAGCGCGGCAACCACCACTGGCGTCGACCCGCACGACCACAAGGGCGCACTCACGACCTCGCTCACTCTAAACGTCCAATGTGTAACGAAATTTTATAGACATGGATCTATAACTTTGGAATTTTCGTGTTTACCAATGCGCTGATTCATACATAAATCAAAGAAATCACGTTCGTAACTGTGCAAACGCTCCTACCTGCACCCTGGCAGGAACCTTGCGTGATCCAGGACGAAACGGAGGTCGAGCACCTTTTCGTTCTCCGTCTCGCCTTCACAGTACCAGCCGGAGCCTCTTCCTGGTGCACGCGAGCCGAGCAGGAGACACATCTGAGGAAGACGAAAGCATTGGTTGGTGAGTAAACCTTTGACAGAAGGGCGAGAGATTTTTGCCTGACTGTTTTGTTTATATCAGTTCTTAACTTCTTGTTCCAAGGTATGTGAAAAAAACACAAAGGGGAGATAAAACACAGAAAGGATCTTTGAAAGATATTGAACAATATTTGGTGCAGTTGGCTAGTGTATATGGCAGAAAAGTAATACAATACAAAGTATCAATTACCATAAGCCTGTCGAAAGATCCTTCACACTCTAAAATTTCTGTTAAGATCTTGACTACCAAAGATTTATGTTCCTTAATCCATTCTACATCCGCCACGTTTGAATCACCAATACGTGTAAGTCTCCCATCTACTATTTGAGATTGAGTTCCGTTTTCTGTCACAGGACGGTCTGGCGGAACTTGCCCATTTTCTTCGTTTTCATGTTTCTGTAGCTGTCCTCGCACACAGCAGAGCTTCAGGGCAATGTATAACAGGAGATGTGCGTTGTTAAGTGCTGGAATTTCTCCCTAAATGCCAGACAAAAAGGATAATTGTACTTATGATGGATAGATAATTGTGATAAAATTAATCTATTTTCAATTCACGTGTGAAGTATATATGGATTACACCTCACTTAAGTATTTCATTATGTTGCATAATTGACGTCCATAGCTCTTCTTTTACCAACTTGTATACACTAGGAAATATGCTTCAAAATACAATGTCTATGGAAAAAATAGATCTCAACTGAAGTCTCACAAGTTTGATTGAAATTTTGCATTGCATTATTCCTGAATGCATAACATATTTCCCTAGGGTCCTTCCAGTTGCCATGTAAAGTGGTGCTATGACATAATACTCCGAACCTTACTTTCACGTCCAGAAATCATGTTTTATATAGGTATATGTCGCCTTCTCCATTGTCTGCTAATATAGTTACATTTTTTTTTGGGGGGGGGGAATGTTACGATTATTGATGTTACACAGGAAAACAAATATACACCTCTAGATTTTAAAATAATGATAACGCTTAGCTAATGCACTTCCAATACGTTACATAAGGTCAGCTAAACTAACCTTACTGCACGGGCGGCGGGCGTGGGCATCCATAATGGCCTCCACGACTCGGATATGGGCGTGCAGCGGGCGTGGGAAGGAGTCCACGACCGAGGTTAGAGACGAGAACAGTTCTGCCGTGTGGTCGGGGACCTGTGGAGGGAAAACTTGAGCTTATGTGTGTGTGTGTGTTTGTGCGTGTGCAATTATGCAAATATGCACACATACTCCCATATATATATATATATATATACATATATACAAGTTGTGTGTGGAGTGGGCACACACACACACACACACACACACACACACACACACACACACACACACACACACACACACACACACACACACGTCTCTCTCTCTCTCTCTCTCTCTCTCTCTCTCTCTCTATATATATATATATATATATATATATATATATATATATATATATATATATATATATATATATATATATATATATATATATATATATATATATATATATATGTATGTATGTGGGGAGAGGATCAAGGTCGAAGAGTCTGGGGAAGGCTTTGATGACGTAAGATCACCTAACCCCCACTGACCAGCACTCAAGTTAAAATTAGGCAATTTTCTAATTAGAAGGGCTTCAATTATTTTTCTCTCATACGAATTTGACGATCTATGAACTAATTTGGCGTCTTTCCAATTTAACTGATGTCCTTCGTCACGTAAATGAATAAAACAAGCATTAGATTCTCTGGCGTATCTGACATCACGTCTATGTTTTTTTGTTTTTGTTTCTAAAAGTTCTGTCGGTTTGGCCTATGTAAAATTTCGGGCAATCCTTACAAGGAATCGTGTAAATACCTGGAGAGGTATCAAGAGCACCGCTAGTTATATTATGCCTGATCAAAGTATTGCGCAACGTGTTTGGGTACGTAAAAACGATGTCAATGCCAGCTCCTTTAACCATACGGCGTTTTTCATCGAGAGACGGGTTGTAAGGAATAATTAAGAGATTTTTGGCACTGTCCTATTGCATGTTACGGGAATGATTATAAAATTTCCATTTCACAGATGAATGTGCCTGATTTGAGGAAAACGAGGGTATCCTGATTTTGAAGATGTCTAAAAAATAATGTCAAGCTCACGATCGATGAATTCGTTATCACAAATCCTATAAGCCCTCAGGAACATTGACGAGACAACTGATTTCTTAACATAAAGCGGGTGATTCGAAAAAATGAAGATAATTAGCGGTGTGTGTGGGTTTACGATAAACTGAAAATTTAAGCGAGCCATTTACACTGGATAAAAGAACGTCGAGAAAAGGTAATTTGCCTGAGTCTTCCCATTCTACTTTAAAGTTAATAGTACGGGCGAGGTTATTTAGTCTATTGAAAAAATCACCGAAATCTTATTTTCATTTTCAGATGTAAAAAACCATGTAAAGACATTATTTGTCCACAATCGAATGAGATCGATAGAGCAATTGACCGGAATAGGGATCCTCTGATGAAACGAAGAAAGTTTCCTTTCAAGAAAATCTAGCACGTCATCAAGCGGGACATTTGTAAATAAGGAATCCGCATCAAAACGTTTCTTACTGTGCGTCGGCAAATTTCTAACTTTCTAACTGTGTGTGTGTAGGGGGGGGGGGGGGTGCGTGTGCGTGTTCGTGTATATATATATATATATATATATATATATATATATATATATATATATATATATATATATATATATATATATATATATATATATATATATATATATATATACACATACATACACATACATATACATACATAATATATATATATATATATATATATATATATATATATATATATATATATACATATATTCGCATACGTAAGTATATATACTAAATTTTAAATGTTTCTTAACAGGTAAGATAAGGGACTTACCAGAATCCAGCCTTCAGGAAGACCTTGTAGAACTCCCAGAATCGCCTCCTTCAGACAGCTCTCCAAACAGGACGGCTTCATGCATTCTGCCTCGGGTTTTCCAGCACTGGCGGCGCACGAAGACCCGGTGTCCTCTTCCGGTGGGTCTGTCGTTCTCCTCGAATTGGTTTCTTGTTCGTTGGAAGTACATTGTTGTCGTGTTCGTTGTTTGATCTGCGATCCAGAGGTACTCTTAGCATAGGTTCGTTGTTGTTTTTCGTTTTTATTGGGGGTTTGTCTCGGTTGCTCGGCATTCGTTTCCGGGCGTCTTTTGACAGGAGAGTCGTTTTCGTCCTTGCGAAGTTTCGCTGGCAGTCGTCTTTCACTTGGTTTAGGTGAAAGACGCTGCTCTCTGAGTTTTAGTTGCGTCGAAGTTTTGTTTACATATTTTACTTTCGTATTTTCTCCAGATTGGACACTTTTATCTTTCTCTTTGGTGTTTCTTTGGCATAGAGGACTTTTCACACGAGATGAATCTCTGTCTTTTAAATGTTCTTCCTTATTTGCACCTTTTGTAATCTTCGTTGTACCATGCACCTGAAAAGTACCCGTGGTATTGCCACTTCCTAAACTACGTTTGGTTCTTTCTTCTACTTTACTTTCTTGAGCAAATATTGAGGAATTGCCCTTACCAATCCTCTTAGGAATATCTGGTACCCTAGACTTTGCTTCTTGAACAGGCTTCTGTGCATTCGAGGTATTTCCTGCTTCGCGCGTCTGTTTGATTTTACTGTTCTTATCTGATTCTATTTTTCCCTTAAAACTGTTTCGCGATGTATTCGAAGAATCTATTTTATAACCGTCTGCTCTGCTGTTTTTGTTCTTACTCCAGCCGCTGCCTGTCCGAGAAATCTTACAGCCATTTTCTCTCCCTCCTGTAGATCCCACCATGGCTGCGGCCTTGTGCGTACTTATGGCACGTGGTCGCTGCTTGAAAGGTTTCGGATCTGGGGTTAGTGACCGTCGGTAACGCGTTGCGATTTCATTGCTTTGAGCTTTAACGGTCAGGCTTTTTGGCGTCGGGTCTGAAGCCAGTCTATCCCGCGGTTGTAACATTTTTCTTCTTAATGAAGGACTAAGTGGGATTTTAGATGTGAATTTTTTGCTAGGAGTCACTGTCGTTAGCGAATAACTTTTGGGGCTAAAAACGTCGCTTGAGTCAGCCCCCGTCGCCCCTCTGCTACAACCTGCTGTTGATGAAATGGTTGGTGATAGCGGGGACAACTGAGGAATTTTAGTCGGCTTGGAAGAAACATTTCTAAGACTGAGCGAAATGGGACGGGGAAGAGGGCGATCGATTTTCTCGTCCTCTAGTAGCGATGTTGACATTCTGGCTTCCGCTTGTGCTTGTCCTTTGGTGAGTTTCTGTTCTCCGTCATCATTCTTCGAGGCTAACGTCGCCTTTTCCTCATTTTCTTGCATCTGGCGTGCAGCCACGGAAAAGAGGTCGCAGCGGTTGACCAGCGCGTACCCCCCATCGCCGTCACTGAGATCAACATCCTCGTCATCTTCGTCACTCTCACTACTCTCATCACTTTCCGTCTCCTCACACTTAGCTTCAGGCTGGGACGCAGCCTCGGCAGATGAGGAAGAGGAGGAATCGTAAGTCAAGATCGCCACCCATAGCTTTTCTATGAGTTCCTGCTGGATGCTTCCGGTCCACGCACTTCCTCCCTGCTGCACCCTGGGCGATCGTCGACGTCCTGCCATGGCCAGCGGAGACACTCCAGCGATGCCACTCGCGACAGTCTGCACACTGAGCTTCCCCCTTGGAAGCTCTTTCCCACAACCTCCTTGCAGATCA